GTCACTTGAGTTTGTGTTTGTGCAAGGTGTTGGGTCTGCAGCACTCTTGATCTAAATGCCATTGATTCGATTCAAACTCCACTGATTCTTTGTTTTCAGAACTGCCCTTTTTTGAACCACTAAAAAAAACCTCATCCCGATCTGAATGACACACCTCAGCAGCCACGCACAACAACTCCGTTCCCCGTGACGGTACAACGTGTGGCCCACTGAGTCTATCAAAAGTGGGAGGAGAACGAGAGGCGGGCAAACTGGTGGTCACTTTAGGAGTTGCAGCCAATCAAAACAGAGGGAGGGGAGGAGGACCGGCCCACTGAGGTTTAGCCTATTTTGATACTAGCCCCTTAATTACTATTGCTGAGTTGTGCAGGCCTGCATTACAGCCTCAGTCCCATGCAAGTTTTTTTTTAACCGTGTCAGAAGTGACTTGAAAAAACTGCAAGTTGCTTCTGGTGTGAGTGAATTGGCTGTCTGCAGAGACATTGCCCAGGGATGTTTTATCATCTTGCGGGAGGCTTCTCTCACGTCCCTGAATGGGAAGCTGGAGCTGGAGTAAATTGGCTGTCTGCAGAGACGTTACGTTGCCCAGAGGGCATTGCCCAGATGTTTGATGTGTTGCCATCCTGTGGGAGGCTTCTCTCATGTCCCCACATGGGGAGCTGGAGCTGACAGATGGGAGCTCACCCTATTTTGCAGGGGACATGAGAGAAGCCTCCCTGCGTCCTCTAGGCAATTCACTAACAGCAGAAGTGACTCAAAGTGACTTGTCCCTTGGTTCGCTCCTGATACAATAAATAAATAACTGCATCTCTCTGATTTGAAGCACCGCCCTTCAGGTCAGCAGTTCAGCCGGCATGAGGGCTTAACCCATTCCACCGCCGCAGCTCTTCCCAGGCAAATGAGAAGCCATCATGCCTGATTGGGAGCTATGCAGGAGGCCTCGTTTAAGCAACGAAGCGCCAACCCAAGGTGCCACGTGCTTCCTTGCATTTTGGACCACTGTGTCGCTAAAAACCTGGCTTTTCAGGAGTGGCGAAGACCGGTTTCCTCCTCGAACGCTCTCTAAGCTCCCCTTTCCTATTTCAGAAGTGGTTTGCCATGCAAGGTACATGTTTCATGCGTGACTCCTTGCATTCTTGCCTCCTCCCATCACCACTTGCCACTTCCATGCAAAATTAACCCATTTGGTACACGGATATAGCACAACGGCAATGCGGGGACACTGGCACACTGGCAGGCCAAACCCAAGGATGGTGCTGCAATGGCATTCGCGCAAGCATATCCCATTTGCCCAGGGATGGGAAAACTTGGGGTTTCCCTCTAGGTGTTTTGGACTCCAACTCCCACCATTCCTAACAGTCTCAGGCCCTTTCCTTTCCCCCCGAGTCGCTTAAGCACCTGAGGGGAAAACGAAAGGGACTGAGACTGTTAGGAATGGTAGGAGTTGGAATCCGAAACACCTAAAGAGAAGGCCCAAGTCTACTAACCCTACATATTGGAGTAAGCTATCCAAAAAGGCCTAGAGTTACACGTTTAGTGTTGGGTGTTTTCATTTTGCAAAGCCAGCATTTGTTATGTTCGGGATGACATATTCTCCTCTTTGGAGACCGGGCCAGGTCCTAGGATGAGTGAAGGAGACGGGACACAAGTTAACAGTCGGATTCGGAACGTTCCTTTTGTTCAACCAAAACCAACATTGGGTGGCTAGATGCAAGTACCAAGCCAAACCTTTGAAAAAGCATGTATTGTGATGCAACTCCTTACAAACCTGCATAGGAATAAAAAGACTATTGAGATACAGTCAACAAAGCCATCTCATTTAAGGCACACAAGAAACCAGACAGTAAAATGTGAAATGTAGAACTCCCATTCAAATGGACAGCAAAGTTCATGGAGGTGCATAAATAGGGATTGGCTGGCAAAATACCCTTTGGAAGCGATAGAAGGATCGATGAAGTGGTGTTTGGTTTTCCAGGGCAAAAAGAGGGACAAGGAATACGCTGGTGGAATAGGGACGTACTGCCTTGTAGAAGCAGCTGTGCCTCAAGTCTACGAGTTCCTTGAAATGCTGAGGAATTGTGACTAGGGGAAAAAGATAAAAGGGCAACAGTTCCACTAGAAAACATACCGTATTCTAGGACTGCATGTACAATATGTACATGGAGAGAGGGAGGTAAACAGAGGTGGAAAAGATTAACAACAGAGTTCACCCTTCAGTTTAATACCACTTTCTCACAAGACCAAGTCTGGTGTGGTTTTAAATTAAAGAGCATTTAGATTGTCTTAAAGATTATTTTCCAGTAATAATGGAGAACTAAAAACATCTGGATGAAATACAGAGTTGCTATTCCCTTTTAAGGAAATACCCCTTTGCTGGAAATGTGTGTGTGTGTAGATACACACACACGATATCTCAGTATCTCATAAAACCTGCCTTCAGACATTACTGAGGCGGAGCTTTAGCACAGCGGTTTAACCAGCTGCAGTAAACTTTACCAATCGAAAGGTTGGTAGTTCAAGCCTGGGTCGAGGTAAGCTCCCGGCCATCAGCCCACCTTCTGCCTACCTAGCAGATCGAAAACAGCAATGTCAGTAGATAAATAGGTACCATTTTAAGAGGGGAGGTAATTTTTTTTGTGTGTGTCAAGAGCAACTCGAGAAATTGCAAGTCGCTTCTGGTGTGAGAGAATTGGCCGTCTGCAAGGACGTTGTGCAGGGGAAGCCTGCACCATCTGGGAAATGCAAAATTTTGCCATCTCCTTTCCTTCCACTGAATTTTTTTTTTTGTCATGTCAGGAGTGACTTGAGAAACTGCAAGTCGCTCCTGTTGTGAGAGAACTGGTGTTCTGCAAGGACGTTGTGCAGGGGACATTGCCCAGATGTTTTGATTTTTTATTATCCTTGTGGGAGGCTTCTCTCATGTCCCCGCATGGGGGGCTGGAGCTGACAGGGGGAGCTTAACCCGCTCTCCCTGGATTCATACTGCTGACATATCAGTCAGCAGTCCTACCGGCACAAGGTTTGAATCCGGGGACAGTGGATTATTGGGTTAAACCTTGTGCCACTGGGGGCTCTGGGGAGGTAATAAGGTGCCCATAAGGACATGCCAATCGGCATGGAAGATGAAGCAACAGCACCTCCCAGTGGCCAGAGTCGAGCACAGCCTCCAGATGCCGGAGATGGAAAAAGATAGGAAAGCCTATACCTCTGTTTACGCATTGTGTGTCCTGTTAACTATACAACGGCATTGAATGTTTGCCTATATGTGTTCTGTAATCCGCCCTGAGTCCTCTTGGGGAGATAGAGCGAAATATAAATAAAGTATATTATTACTTTAGCATCTGCCCCTATTACACACAGTAAGCAAACATGAGGCTGGAAGCACCTTTAGATGAGCTAAAAGGGACGGACTCCAAAGCAGCACTGTCTAGCCATCAGGAAGGTCTTCCTAATGTTCAAGGGGAAACTAAATATCAGGATATGGTTTGCCCCAAACCAAAAGACCACTTCAACCCCCTTCCATCCTTCCTCTGACCACGCTTTCCATTACGAGGGACCAAAGCATCCCTCTCCTCAAGCCGAAAGAGACGACGTCATACCATTCCTTACAAACAGTTTGCAACGACTTTGTTTTCTATTTATGCAGAATGAACCAATGCTGGATTTATGTGGAGCGAATTGCAGAGGGGGCTATCGCTTTGCTATCTATATATACATATATTTATATATGTATCTATACTAGGCATGGGCAAATTGTGGGCCTCCCTCCGGGTGTTTTGGACTCCAACTCCCACAATTCCTAACAGCCTTGGGCCCTTTCCTTTCCACCCTCAGCCGCTTATGCGGCTGAGGGTGGAAAGGAAAGGGCCCAAGGCTGTTAGGAATTGTGGGAGTTGGAGTCCAAAACACCCAGAGGGAGGCCCACAATTTGCCCATGCCTGATCTATACAGATATATGCATGTATGTGTATATATATATCTATCTCATATATATATATATAAATAATGTATAATGAAATTTTTACGGCACCGAAAAAAAAAGATTTAAGAGAGTACGACTGGTAACGACACACATTCACCACCAGTGAGGGGGGACGACCCCTTATTTAAAAACACCCTCTGGAAAAGAACAAAAATTCTGGGTAATATTAATTAAAAATCCAAAAGGAAATACAGCCTATTGAACAAAATAGTAAATATTAAAACAGTGAATACTCTACTTAATAATAAGGACTTTGCGCCTTTTTTTTCTTCAAGTCGGCGTCAATCCACACAAAAATATACTTTTTTTTTTTAAATCTGGTGAGCGTACAATACATACGTACTTACACCGAAAAAGGTGATAATATATTTAAGATGCTATATACACAACGTTTGGCTCAAATTTTTAATTTACATATAGAATAATAATAATAATAATAATAGTAATAAGTATTCATGGCTTATTTTTCCCCAAAGGTTCTGCCTGCAAGGTTTTGCGTTTCCGATTCCTCTCCCGAAACCAAAAGCAACAACAGACAGTCCAAAAAAAAAAAAAAAAGAAACAAGTCAGACCTATTCTCTACCAAAAAAAAAAAAAAGCTACACCGTACAGCTTTGGCTTGTATAAATAATTCATAGCAGAATGTGTTCAAAAGTACTGTATATAATAATTCTCCATATAGATAAGTCTTCAAAGAAGGGTATTTTTTCTCTTTCTCTCTCTTTAATAAAAAATATACACGAGCTAAAACTTGTCTTTCTATCTTTTTTAAAAAAGGTCAGAGGAACGTAAGAAAGAGCTTTGAAAACATATCCCAATTATTATAACTTAATATATTAAAATTTCCATCTTTACGGGTTCTCTTCTATAGGCTAATTATCTTCTGAATACGTCATGCACTTTTATGTCTCTGCCTCACACACACACACTTGGTTACAAAAATCGTATCTGACCCTCTATTTTACTTTTTTTGCACGTGCAAAAACAGGTGTGTGTTTTGTTTATATTTATTTATTTATTTTTCTGTAAAATAATGCCAGCCCTTCTCCATGCACTCTTTGCAAGAGAGACCCATGCTAGACTGGGTAGTAGTAGTAGAAGTAGTAGTAGTAGTAATAGAGGTCCTTCTATGTACAGTATTGCTTTCTCTTTTCTACTGCTCTGCTGCTACAAAGCGTAAGGATAACTACAGGATACCACACGGTTGTTGGAAAACACACACTGGGAACGACGACTACAGGTAAGCCCTCGAGCTTCTGCCACTTTCGTTTGGGAGGTTACATAAGGGGAACGTGTTCTCATTTGAGGAACATCGTCCAGAGAGTAAGTGCCAGGCTAGATCGCAGCCTACGAGGGTTCTTCTGCTCTATCTCTGAACACCACAGAGCACCTGGAGCTGCTATACAAGGAGTCGGTATTAAGTGCCTGCTGATTGCTGCTTTTCGTGTCTCCGCTACACACACTCACACATATATATGTATACAAAGATATATATATGCATGTATGTATATATACATATAAATATTTATTTCATGTCCTTATTTATAAATTTAGATATGTCAGGACTGTCCTCTGGTAGAACTCAAGTGTAGAAACCCAAGGAGGAGGAGGAGCAAGGATTAGGTCACCCAAGTGTCCATCCGCATCCGCTTCACGGTGGGGCTCTCCCGGTCTTCCGCGTTGGGGGGCCTTCCCAGCGCGACGGGTGAGTGGAAGTCGCCTCGAGGGTCCTCTCGGTCGCTGCCGTCATACGAACTGCTGGAACTGCTCAGGCTGTCGACAGGAGAGCGACCCATGTCCTGCCGCGATGTCGCCTGCTGCTGCTGCTGCTGCGCCTGCTGCTGCTGCGGAGCCTGTTGCTGTTGTTGCTGCTGCGGGAACGTGGACGGAGTCACTCTTTCTCGAGGAGGGGAAATCGGTTCAGACTTGATGTTAATATTTTGGTTGGTGTTAATGGATAAACTGGAACCCTGAGAGAGTTGGCCTCCAGCCCTGAGAAGATTTAAAAACCAGGTTGGGGGAAAGAAGAGAAGGGAAACGTCATTTTTGCCAAATGAGATGGTTACCGCATCGCTGTCTACGAACCCACACGCTCACTCCGGTCATCAGGAGAGGCCCTGCTCGTGATCCCGCCCGCGTCACAGGCGCGTTTGGTGGGGACGCGAGACAGGGCCTTCTCTGTGGTGGCCCCCCGCCTCTGGAATGCCCTCCCGAAAGATCTCAGACAGGCCCCTACTTTGGCGGTTTTCAGAAAGAATCTGAAAACCTGGCTGTTCCAACGTGCCTTTTCAGATTAGGAACCCCACTACCAAACCCCAGAAGCACTTTAGTAGAGCCAAGATCACTGCTCATCGCACACTGCACTTGATTTTAATCCCATATCCCTCCGACACTTCAGCACTTTTAATCCTGTACCCCTACTCCGGCCGGCTCAGTTTTTAATAATTGTCCTGTTGCATTGCTATTGTTTATTGTTTTCTGCTTTAACTGTTTTATTTGCTATGTACTGTATTGTTGTATTGTGTTCGGCTCCGGCCTGCTGTAAGCCGCATCGAATCCCTTGGGAGATGCTAGCGGGGTACAAATAAAGTTATAATAATAATAATAATAATTAAAAGGACACTACAATCTTAAAATCACGGGAACTGAAAAGCTCTTCCCTAACTTTTTTGGTGTCATGTACCAACGGTAGGCTGTCTTCACCCAGTTCTCCTTTAGGTCAATTGCATAGGTAGGTAGTCCCCTGACATTAAGTCCAGTCATGTCTGACTCTGGGGTGTGGTGCTCATCTCCATTTCTAAGCCGAAGAGCCAGCGTTGTCCGTAGACACCTCCAAGGTCATGTGCCGGCATGACTGCATGGAGCGCCGTTACCTTCCCGCCGGAGCGGTACCTATTGATCTACTCACATTTGCATGTTTTCGAACTGCTAGGTTGGCAGAAGCTAGGGCTGACAGCGGAAGCTCACGCCGCTCCCCAGAATCAAACCTGCGACCTTTCGATCAACAAGCTCAGTGCTTTAACCCACTGCGCCACCGGGGGCTCCAGGTCAATTGCATAACAGTATTTTAATTTTATCTTCCAAATTTTTCCCCATTCTTCTTGTTTGATGGTTCTCCTAATATTTTCATCCCATCTTTTTCAATAGTTCTTTTCCCCTTTTGTTTCCAACTTCCATTCTAATCGTTTTTATATATCTTTGTTATTAAATTCTTTCCTGATTCCATTATCTTGTCCCAGAATTTTTTTTCCTGATTGAAACCTATCTTCTGATCAACAGTGAGGTGAATTTCAGCCACCACCCTTCCCCTAAAGACTTTTTCCTTTTCTGCTGTTTTTAATATATTTGTAAGCAAAACTATAATAAACATTAGGTTCTTGTGGGTTTTTTCGGGCTATAGGGCCATGTTCTAGAGGCATTTCTCCTGACGTTTCGCCTGCATCTATGCAAGCATCCTCACTACCTCTGAGGATGCTTGCCATAGATGCAGGCGAAACGTCAGGAGAAATGCCTCTAGAACATGGCCATATAGCCCGAAAAAACCTACAAAAACAGTGATTCCAGCCATGAAAGCCTTCGACAATACATATAATAAACATATTTTTTTTAAAAAAACAGTGAGGTGAAGTTCAGCCATTTTTTTTTGGTCGTGGCAGGAGTGACTTGAGAAACTGCAAGTCGCTTCTGGTGTGAGAGAATTGGCCGTCTGCAAAGACGTTGCCCAGGGGACATTGCCTGGATGATTTTGATGTTTTTATCATCCTTGTGGGAGGCTTCTCTCATGTCCCCGCATGAGGAGCTGGAGCTGATAGAGGGAGCTCATCCACCTCTCCCCGGATTCGAACCTGCAACCTGTCGGTCTTCAGTCCTGCTGGCACGGGGGTTTAACCTACTGCGCCACCAGGGGCTCCAGTTCAGCCATGGCAAGGACGTACTTTCCTTTGAATTCGAGGTTGTTATTATTATTATTATTATTATTATTATTATTATTATTAACTTTATTTGTACCCCGCTAACATCTCCCGAAGGACTCGATGCGGCTTATGAGGGCCAAGGCCTCAATAAAACAACAATACACATAAACCATAAAGCAAATCAAAACATTAAAGCAATAACAGTAAACAGTAAAAACAGTACACTCATAGCACAATAAAACTAAGGCTGGGCCAAGTGTAAATGGGTACAGATTAAAAGTGCTGAGTATGACAGTTGAAATATAAGGATTTTTGGGTAAGTACAATGTGCGGACAATCTTAAGTCTCTAGTAAAGTGCTTCTGGGACATATTGCTGGGGTTTCCTATTCTGGAAAGGTTGCTTCAAAATGTTTTTTTCCCCTGCAAGCAAACTATGGGTTGTTAGCCAGAAGTAAACTACAACTAGAACCCATGGTGTGCTTACAAAAACAGGTTGATTACTAGGGATCTTTGAGTGATCTGTGCCCACACACAAATGGAGCACACTGACCTAACAACAGGGGTTGATACTACATTTGCACTAGCTGCCGTGTCCACAATATTGTAGTTATGATTTGAGGAGAGACATAGAAAGGATCGTATAAAAGACCTCAGACTGGAAATAAATTGGTAGCTGTTTTTGTCAAAAATATTAAAAATTAACTAGGTATTTCTAATTACAAAAATGTGTGTCAAGTACTGAAAGGGTCAATGGATGCAATGACTCAGCAAAAGCTGCAGTTCAATATAAGCAGGTGTGTCTGTAGCTTAGTAGGCCTCAGTGTTTGTTGACCTCAATCTGAGAGATGCCTCAGTGTGAGAGGCCTCGGTATAATTATATGAGAGAGACCTCAATCTGAGAGATGCCTCAGTGTGAGAGGCCTCGGTATAATTATATGAGAGAGACCTCAATCTGAGAGATGCCTCAGTGTGAGAGGCCTCAGTATAATTATATGAGAGAGACCTCAATCTGAGAGATGCCTCAGTGTGAGAGGCCTCGGTATAATTATATGAGAGAGACCTCAATCTGAGAGATGCCTCAGTGTGAGAGGCCTCGGTATAATTATATGAGAGAGACCTCAATCTGAGAGATGCCTCAGTGTGAGAGGCCTCAGTATAATTATATGAGAGAGACCTCAATCTGAGAGATGCCTCAGTGTGAGAGGCTTCAGTATAATTATATGGTGATTGTATGTTTTAATGGTTTTTATATTGTTATGCTGAATATTTTGAATTGTATTTTCATAAATGTGTAGCATCGAATTGTTGCCAATTTGTAACCCTCCTTGAGTCGCCTTAGGGCTGAGAAAGGTAGGCTAGAAATACGGTAAATAAATAAATAAATAAATAAATAAATAAATAAGAGAAGGCTATAATGTTGGTAGGCCTCAGTGTGAATAGGCCTCAGAGTTAGAAGGCCTAGTGTGAGAAGCCCCAGGTTGAAGACCTTGTGTGTGAAGCTCCAGTATGAAGGCTGCTATGGGAAAAATGCTACTGAGTCGCCCAAGGGCTGAGAAAAGTAAATAATTAAATAAATAAGTAAATAATAAATACTGTGTGAAGCTTCTGGGTAAGCTTGGTGTGCGAGGAAGCTCAGTGAGAGTGAAGCTGCTTATCTGCATGAGAAAGAAGCCCAGTGTTGAAGCAAAGAAGGAAGTATAAAGAACTTTATTTGTGTCATGGAAACCTTGTTTTTGTAAATAGTGCAACCATATTATTTTGCTACAAAGAACAGTCTCGTTTGGAAGAGATAATATTGATCTCTGTGTTTTTGTTCTTTGTATCACTTTGGGCAACTGGTGCTGGTTCAAGCTGCTGCAAATAAGTTGTTCTGCTATATGTTTATGAGGAGGGTCTTTAGTTAAGGAGCCCACTCACCCAACAGTTTTCACCTTTATTGTGTAACCCATCCGTTCAACCACCTGGAGCTAAACGGGGTATTGGACAATGTCGTTTCCGCAACCCATTTGGCACTGATATAAATGGAAAAATGGACCCCTGTTTCCAAATATCGATGGATGAAACATCCATGAGTTCCCAAAGTGTGGCTTCTTTGTGATCCGGAGCAGAACAGCATCCAAAAACTCTTTAAGTAAAGTGTGCTGCATTCACTGCCTTGGCAATGCTGTCTTTAAATTCATGCCAGTTTCATTTATTTGTTTATTCAAATGGGGGGAAGATCATAACATCGTTATTTGCATGCAGGAAGGGACAACAAAGGGACCCAGCAGGAGCACAGAGATTTCCCTATTCTCATCTCCAAGTCATAAATCACCACCTTCATGAAGGAAGAGATGTGCAAGTTTCCAAAAGGTGAAAACACCACCCCCAGCCAAACAAGGTTACACCTGAACACTAGGGTGTGTGTTTGTGTATGTGTGTTGTACTCACACGAGAGAAGTAAGGGCTGCCTGTCCTAGGTGATGCTGTTGCCAGGCAGATACTTGTCCCAATGACAGCATTCCTGGGGAGTTAAATCCCTGGAGGGTTGACAGGTCTGCGCTAGTCAAAGAGTAATCTGAAAGGCGGAGCAAGCAAAACCATTACTTTTCATCATAACATCCAGGATTTTCATTTTCTCCAACTCAATGCCGGGAAGAATGGTTCTGAATTCACAAACACTCGCTCGGACGTCTTGCAATGTATTTTCTGGCTTTGATCTTGCTTGAAGGACTGCAATCTCACATTGATGACAACCTCAAGACCCAAGATTGACTAACATATTATTACATCTCAGACTCTAGATCAGGCATGGGCCAACTTGGGCCCTCCGGGTGTTTTATTTATTTATCAATTTTATATACCGCCACTCCCATTAAATGTAATGTATCACAATATACATATGCGATACATTACATTTAAAATCAAAGAAAAATTTCAATCGGCAAGATTCAAATGCCAGCCTAAATAAATAAGTTTTACAAGCTCTACAATTACCTAGTTACTTACTTAGTTTATTCGATGCTTAGACCATAGGTCTTTCACATACAAGGCAAGGCAAATAAATAAACACCAGATTATTAAATACAATATAAAATACACAATAAAATCCTATAAATCGTTAAAATGCTACATATATCGATGGCAAGATGCACCTTTAAAATACTACATAATGTATAGACTCATACCTGCGTAATTAAAAATCAAGTAAAAGCAAATAAGTTTTACAAGCTCTACAAAAAGATAGTAAGTCTCGGAGAGCTTGTGTTTCCGCTGGCAAGGCATTCCACAGGTAAGGAGCCACTACCGTGAATGCTCTACGCCTAGTAGACATCAGGTGAAAATTCCGAAAATTGGGAACTTCAAGGAGATTTTGATTATCTGAACAGAGTGATCTCAGGGGTTGGTAGGGGGTGAGGTGGTCCCTCAGGTACTCCGGCGCCAGACCATATAAGGCCTTAAAGGTAAGAATCAGCACTTTGAAGGTAATCCGGTGCTGAATCGGCAACCAGTGCTGTTGCTGCAAGATTGGAGTGATATGACATCTCACTGGGACCCCTGCGAGAAGCCGGGCAGCAGCATTTTGCACTAGTTTATGTTTCCGGATCACCGATAAAGGCAGGTCTATGTAGAGGGCGTTACAGTAGTCCAACCTTGAGATGACCGTAGCCTGGATCACCGTGGCCAGGTCGTCCCTGGACAGTTAGGGAGCCAGACGCCTAGCCTGATGCAGATGGGAAAATGCGATTCTGTCGCGGCGGAGGCCTGGGCCTCCATCGTCAGCAGAGGACTCCCAGACTCTTTACCAAAGATGACGGGCATAATGTCACGCCATCCAGGGTAGGCAACCGGATCACTCCTCCATCCGGGCGACCCAACCAAAGGATCTCCATCTTTGCTGGATTCACCCTCAACCTGCTGGTATGCAACCACCCAGTAACGGCCTCAAGGCATTGATGGAAATTATCGGGTATGGAGTCTGGTTAGCCTTCCATCCTCAGAATGAGTTGAGTGTCATCAGCACACTGACTGCACTCAAGCCCAAAGCCTCACACTAGCTGGGCAAGTGGTCGCATATAGATGTTAAACAACAGGGAGGAAAGAATAGCCCCCTGAGGGACCCCACATTCAAGAGGGGCCCTCTTAGAGACCGACCCTTCCCTCTCCACACGTTGGCCCCGCTTTTGAAGGAAAGAGGACAGCCATTTAAGGTCCATCCCCCTAATTCCAGCCACGGCTAGGTGGTGAATCAAAAGGTTGTAATCGACCGTATCAAATGCTGCCGTGAGGTCCAATAAATTGGACTTCCACAATTCCTCTTCCTTTTCCCCCTCAGCTGCTTACGTGAAAGGGCCTGAGGCCAGGAATTGTGGGAGTTGAAGACCAAAACACCTGGAGGGAGGACCCAAGTTGGCCCATGCTTGATCTAGATTCAACTAGTTTAGAATCTTCACAATACCCCCCTATGGAAGAGAATGACAAGCCTGGAGCCTCTTACCAGTGTTGTAGGCGGTAGGCATAGCAGAATACACCAGTCCCTGCGGAGGTAAGCTTGGAGTTGTCACAGACACAACCGGTGTGGCAAGAGGTTGTGTAGACTGAGAACTGGTTAGCCGTTGTGTGTTCTGTAAATGGTTGACAAGACAACAGATTGTAGTAAACAACATTGAAAACAACAACAACCACACAATCGAGCACACAATCAACAACAACAACACAATCAAGTGGGGTTTTCTCCTTGCAATGAGTGGCTTAGTCCTCATTAGTGCCCCAAAATACATAATAATAATAATAATAATAATAATAATAATAAATAATAATAATAATAATAATAATAATAATAACAACATCTGCTTATGAGAAAGAACTGATCCCAATAGTGATCGGCACACTGGGTACAGTGTCTAAAGACCTTGGCCTGCACTTAAACACAATCAGCGCTGACAAAATTACCCACTGCCAGCTGCAAAGGCCACCCTACTGAGATTTGCACGCATTATTTGCCAATACATCACACAGTCCTAGACACTTGGGAACTGTCCTACGTGTGATTCAATACAACAGCCAGCAGAGTGATCTTGCTTGCTATGTACTAATCTTTTTGTGTTTCTAATAATAATAATAATAATAATAATAATAATAATAATAATAATAATATAAAGTAAAAAATAATTGTAATAATAGAATATTTTTATTATATATTACATTATATATAATTTAAATATTTTATATTATAATATTATAATTGTATATTATATATTACATGTAATATGATTAATATTACTAACAATATTGCAGTACAGTGGTATAGTACAATATAGTAATCCTGTCCTTTAGAAGGGAACTCAAGACTTGGCTGTGGGACCTTGCATTTGACCACTGAACAGTGGCTTGTAGGAAGAAGACATAAGCAATTTCGAAGTGACAATGAATTGACCCCGACTTTAATTGGCGTGTTTTAACAACTGTTTATTTAATGTTTTGTTTTAATGAATTTGTTGATTGTTCTTATCATTATGATGGCACCAAATGGTATTTGCTGTGAGGCTGCCCTGAGTCCCCCCTCGGGGGTGAGAAGGGGGGGGGTACAAGTATATAAAATAAATAAATAATATATGGTATACAGGTATAATATTGTAATTTAGTAATACAAATATATTAAGTATAATTACTCCTAATAATATATCACAATATACTGTTTTAAATTTGTATATTTTCAGTTGTAATGCTTTTGATTGTGAGCCGCTTTGAATCTCTGTATGGAGAGATAAAGCTCACGCTCCCACCTCTTTCACAGGCGCGATTGGTGGGGACGAGGGAGAGGGCCTTCTCGGTGGCGGCCCCCCGACTCTGGAACTCACTTCCCAGGGACATCAGACATGCCCCAATTCTGGCAGTCTTTAGGAGGAGCCTGTAAACGTGGTTGTTCCAGTGTGCCTTCCCAGAATAAGGAAAACTCTCAGCAATATGCCCTCAAAATGCACTTTACCATTGATTTAGGACTGACTGCATTCCCTCACTTCTCTCTGAAAATGTTCACGTCACGTCAGCATTATTTTAATTTTAATCTATTACATTTGGCCCGGCCATTGGTTTTTAACATGTTGCATGGTTTTTAACATGTTGCTTATTTTTGTTTATGTGATTTATTTGAATTATATTGTATTGACTGTTTTATTTGATGTTTTGTTTACTGATGTATTGTAAATGCCTTAGTCACTTCCAGATTGGACTACTGTAATGCACTCTACGTGGGGCTGCCCTTGAAAACGGCCCGGAAATTTCAATTGGTCCTGGTCCAATGGGCCAGGTTGTTAACTGGTGCTCCTTACAGAGAGAGGTCAACCCTCCTGTTTAAGGAGCTCCACTGGCTGCCATTCATTTTCCGGTCCCAATTCAAGGTGCAGGTGCTTACCTACAAAGCCCTGAATGGTTTGGGACCCGCCTACCTACGTGACTGCATCTCTGTGTACGAACCCACACGATCCCTTCTTTCATCTGGAGAGGCCCTGCTCATGATCCCACCTGCATCGCAAGCGCGATTGGTGGGGACGAGGGATAGGGCTTTCTCGGTGGTGGCCCCTCGACTCTGGAACTCTCTCCCTAAGGACATCAGGCAGGCCCCTTCGCTAGCAATCTTTAGGAGGAGCTTGAAAACGTGGTTGTTCCAGTGTGCCTTTCCAGAATAAGGAAACTCCTAGCATTACGTCCCAACGCACTTTATCAGGGATCCAGGATATCTGCATGCCCATCCCCCTCCAAACACCCCACCTGTCATGCCCAGCACTTTTAATTTTAATTGTTACAATTGGCCTGGCCATTGTTTTTAATTGCGTCATTGGGTGTTGTTAATTGTTGCTTTGGGTTTTTTTTAGTTATTGTGTTGTCGTTGTTGCTGCTGTTTTATTGTTGTATTTGGGCTCGGCCTCTTGTAAGCCACACCGAGTCCTTCGGGAGATGGTAGCGGGGTACAAATAAAGGATGATGATGATGATGATGATTATTATTATTATTATTGTGGGCTTGGCCTCATGTAAGCCGCACCAAGTCCCTTGGGGAGATGGTAGCGGGGTACAAATAAAGTATTATTATTATTATTATTATTATTATTATTATATAAATATGTGTTGTTGTTTGTCAGGCACGCGCTGAACTAGGTGCATCATCTGAGAAGCCTCTCCCTTGCCTGGACATTTTGTACTATGTTGACTATGAGCAGCCGAGTGAAGAAAACCCATGAGCTAGATTCAGACAAGACAGATAGGCAACGATTGCCCTTGGAGCAGTCACACTCGCTGCCATCTGACCATTCTTCATGGGGCAGCTGGCAGCACAAAAACCCTTAAGTGCTGAACTTTGGGTCTCGTGTGCATATGATTACTGTAATTGCATCAAAACAAACGAAACCCTTCCAAGCTGTCCTCCTTGCTAACAGCATGCCTTGGACATAGAGTCACTTAAAGAAACACATTCAAGACTAATGCAGGTCAGCAGATCAGGGTTTTTTTGTTTTTTACGAAGCTGCAGATACTGCTGGAAAAAACCCAACTGTCTAAATAGTTTGAAAACTTTTCAAAAGCTAGCTTTGGAACCAGCTCAGTCCAGTAGCAAGGAAGGCCCGGGGCAGAAGAGTTCAAGAGACACTACCGGGGTCATCTGCATAACCTTCTCAAAGAAAAGAGGAAAACATTAGCTCTGCTACCAAAACCTATGGCGAAGATGGTTGTCCCCAACCCCAACTATTCCTTTCCCATTCTACATTTCTTATTATTCCTTTCACTCATAGATAGGGAAATGAAGACAACCAAGAAACGCCATGGAGAGATGATAACTCCAGCTCCTGCACAGATGCACAATGAGCGCAGCACACTGAAATCTTTGCCTAGAGCCACACTACGGATTGAGCCAGTCCTAACTAGCTTTGGCTCCAACGATAAGCCCATGACCTAGTTTGAAGGAGGCCTCTCAATTATGTTTTAGGCAGCTGCATGATTCCCCACAAGTCATGCCACCAGAGGGCAATCGCCTCCCACAGCCCATCACCATAAACCAGCCTTTGTCTATGAAGACCGCTTCACAACATCCTTCTCACTTATTAAAAGATTTACCACGCATACCCTTTCGCTCATAACACGTGATGTTGATACATGCATTTCACTTTGCATGTTTTTCAGTGAATTAAAGACATCACTGACTGACACACTCATGCGCACATCTCGTTATGTGCCTGTGGCATCCGTATATTCCGGTGTCCACTGTACATACGCACCAAATCTAATGTGTGTGCAGCCATTAGAAGGACTGCCTTTTCTGCTTCAACCTCACAACAGGCAAAAATATGATATATTTTCAACGGCACTTCCCTGACTTCATGCATTCCAGTTGTGTCATTATGTGAAGCTCTAGCACAGCATTTCTCAACCTGGGGGTCGGGACCCCAGTGGGGGTCGCAAGGGGGTCACCAAAGACCATCAGAAAACTATTTTCTGTTGGTCATGGGGGTTCTGTATGGGAAGTTTGGCCCAATTCCATCATTGGTGGGGTTCAGAATGCTCTTTGATAGTAGGTGAGCTATAAATCCCAGCAACTACAACTCCCAAATGCCAAGGTCTATTTCCCCCAAACTCCACCAGTGTTCATCTTTGTGTAGATTGAGTCTTCATGCCAAGTTTGGTCCAGATCCATCTTTGCTCTCAACTCCCAAACTCAAGGTCAATGCCCATCAAATCCTTCCAGTATTTTGTGTTGGTCATGGGAGTTCTGTGTGCCAAGCTTGGTTCAATTTCATCGTTGTTGGAGTTCCGAATCCTCTTTGATTGTAGGTGAACTATAAATCCCACCAACTACAACTCCCAAATGCCAAGTTCTATTTTCCCCAAACTCCACCAGTGTTCAAATTTGTGTAGATTGAGTCTTCATGCCAAGTTTGGTCCAGATCCATCATTGCTCTCAACTCCCAAACTCAAGGTCAATGCCCATCAAATCCTTCCAGTATTTTCTGTTGGTCATGGGAGTGCTGTGTGCCAAGCTTGGTTCAATTCCATCATTGCTGGAGTTCCGAATCCTCTTTGATTGTAGGTGAACTATAAATCCCAGCAACTACAACTCCCAAATGACGAAAGCAATCCCCTCCCCAAATCCCACCAGTATTCATATTTGGGCATATTGGGTATTTGTGCCAAATTTGGTCCAATGAATTAAAGTACATCCTGCATATCAGCTATTTACATGATGATTCAGAACAGTAGCAAAATTACTGTTATGAAGTAGCAAGGAAAATAATTTTAGGGTTGGGGGTCACCACAACATGAGGAACTCTATTAAGTGGTTGCGGCACTGGGAAGGTTGAGAAACACTGTTCTGGCAGTTAATGGGTACCACCATTGTGCCAGCAACATTTCAAATTAACACAAGGAATATCTTTCATATTTATGTAACTTTTTGTTCTGACAGGTCAGAGAAGAGAATCAAAGCTGTCCATCTTTGACATGGGACCCATTCTGTTTGTTGGAAAACGTGGGAGAGCAATGGTTCTTTCAAGGCAAAACCTGAACAACAACCAGTCCAATAGTCACCCACACCACACTCACACCAGGTCCATCCTCAAATAAATGGCTCAAAAGAG